GAGATGGATTGGCCAAGTGGTGTCAATGGGCTGAAGCATGGCAACAATTGTGAGGTTGGCCCAGGACCGGGCAGTGGTAAGTTCTGTTGTGCATAGGGTCGCTATGAGTTGGTACTGACTTGATGGCACCTAACAACAACAACAGAAACTGTATGTTTATACATGTATCTCAACGTGACATTTAGCATGTAAAATCGTAGGATATACATTTTGGAAAAGAGGAAACAGGTTCAGAAAGTGAAGAGACGTGCCTGGGGAGCAGTAAGGGTTCCTCGTGTATCAATTTAGCAGGACAGTGGCTCCCAGCCGGCTGGCCAATCACCGTCTGGCTGCTATCATGGAGAGCTGCAGGAGATGAAATCAGTGGGCAGGGAGGAGAGCAGACCTCCTTCCATGCCAGCTAACTCAATCCATTGTTATGCCAACGTAAGGTAGGTGCTAGCCCCAGTCACGGCTGGGTTAGAGAGAGACCAGAACAGGCACACTCAACAAGGAATGCCCAGGCTCACTGGTCGGCGCTAGGAGAGAGAGAGAGAGGCTCACAGATGGAACTGCCCCTGACTTGCACTGAAGGCTTCCAGAGGATAAGAACATAAATGTCTGTTCTTGAGCAGTATTTGTGTTACAGCAGCACCAGGTAATGAGGATAGAATCTAAATGGCCAGTCTCAAGATGACAAGACAACTGTACTTTCCTCAGGCCTGGGGAGGGTGTGTATAAAAGAATCTGATGCAACAAGACCACGGATGAAAGACTGAAATTAGAAGCACAGCCCCAGGGTAGTTCAGATGAAGACTTGAAAACAGGAAGGCAGCTCTGTGCAGCAGGCTCAGGCCCGAAACCCTGGCACTGCCTGACACACACCATAGAACCCTGGCGCCACCTCCTTTTCGTCCCTTTCTCTCACTGCTTGAGGTGCCCTCTCCTCTTGGCTCCATAGTCATCTGAGGCTACCAACCCTCACTCAACCACAGCATCTGGAAACAGTCACTATCTTGGCTAAGGCTAAACTGGATCTAACTCAAGGGTCTGACCCAAGTGCTGGAAATCCAAAGTCAGAATCAGAGCAGCCAGGAAATCGTCCAAGTCTGCCTCTTTTCTGAACTAGCTGGTATGATGTTCAAAGCCCCTCTACCAGACTGCTGGTAGAGTCTGAGCCTATACCTTAAGGTAAGGGAAATGCGACTAGCAAAGTAGACTGCTTAGGCCTTTGAGGCCTGTAAGAGCTGGAAGACCTTGGGCACACTAGCCACCCCTTTGAACCGTAGCGCCCTCATTTACAAATTAAGGTTAATGACAGACTATCTGTGGTTACACAGAAAAATGTATATAAAACACTTGGCACCATCCCAGACACACAGGAAGCCTCAGTGCACATCAAACAAGAAGTGGAAAATCAGGACAGAGTTCCCACAGAGACAGACTTCCTTCCCCGCAAAGGAAGGAATCTCAAACTTCCAGAGTGACATCTGAGATCGTCCTCCAACCACTGTCACCCTGAGAATCAAGGAAACAAGAAGAAAAATGGGGTCCGCTGCTCTCCTGTTCTGTCAAGGGAGGAGGCATTCCTGTCCGACTTCAGGAAGCACTGGACCCCTCGGCAGGACCAACAAGGCCCAGCATCTGCCATCAGTCCAGTCTCAACACACTCACCTTCATCTTTGTGGTCACCACGTTAACCTCCGTGGGGAGGAACCACGAGTTCTGGCCCCTGTAGTTGGGAGTGAGATCCAGAATGACCCGAATGCCTGAATGGTGGAGGAAGAGTCACTGGAGTGAGGGGAAAGCAGGAACCACACCCCCCCACAAATCTGTTGAGCGTTCCCTATGTATTACTTGGATTTCAACCTTGATAAAACCTATTCCTTTGGAACAAAGATGTGAACAAGGAAAGGTGTTAGAGCCCATAGAGCAGATGTAAGAGAAGGTTGAGCCGTGGGGTCCCAGGTTCCCCACCACCAAATGAGCTCTAATACAAATCTGTAATAAGCTATAAGGCAGTATTTCATTTGGACTGTTCGTTGTTGATTTTAAAAGGATCCACCACTTCAATAAAAGAACCACTGATATAGTAAAAGCCTACAGTTTGCAAATAAGTCCACTGAAACTGCCAAAATTAAAGGAACAACACAATAGGCTGAAACCCTGAGTCACTCAAAGAAACCCCACCTTCCAACCTCACCTCCCCTTCCCCAGTTTCAGCCCCACGAGGAAACCAGACCACCACCTCCTGCCTTTTCTTGGCCAGGGGCCAGCCTTTCTCTCCAGTGGCTGCTTCCTTGAAAACCCCAGGATACCTACTCTTTTTTTTAGCCGACTGCAGGAGACTATCAAAATCCTCCTTGGAGCCCAGAGCGGGGTCAATCTGACCCAAGTTAGTCCCCAACACGTCATCCTTCAGATTGTTGTGAATTGGGCCCAGTACGATGCCCTTCACCTTCAGCGAGCTCAGGTAGTTCAGGTGTCCCTTAAGGTCTGAGAGGGGAAACGGGAAGGCAAATGGGAAGGAGGAATGAAAGGGACCTCCCCCTCCCCCCAGGCCCTTGATTCTCTCCCAGTCCGCGGATGGGAGTGGGGGGAGGGGGAGAGGCTGGGTCACAAGACTTAGAGAAGCTGATGTAAGGCACCCTGCACGTTGCTTCTGAGAGCGGAGAGCAATCTGAGTCAGCACAATAGAGGCGGAAGAGGGGGCAATCAGGGACGGCAGCGTTTCTTTTCAAAGTGAAGAGGGAGGAGGATTAAACCCGAGGCGCACTAACCTGCTAACTTGCCCCCTTCGCCGGGCAGGAAAGCCTGAATGTCGGCGATTCGGTAGAGGGCACCCTTGTGCCACCATCTCTGTATGGGCAGCTCGCGGCAGCGTGGTGCCTGTACGATGATGACCACGGCGCCCGCCAGCATGCCCAGCCAACCGAGCCAGAAGAGCACCAGCAGTGCCCAGCGGGTGCGCACCCAGCCGGGGCTGCCCGCCACCTTCAGCAGCTCCTCCTTGGACAGGCCCGTGAACTTAGCCGCGGCTGTCTCCTCATCGTCGGCCACCTTGATCTTCACCAGACCGTTTTTCTCGGCGCCTCCGGACACGGCCATGGCCACGGCCGCCCCCGAAGCGGCGTTCATCGGCTGCTTCTCCGGTTCCAACTCGTTCAGCTCCACCTCCTTCAGGTCCACCTCGGCGTCGTGGCTCATGGTGCCTGCGGAACCTACAATGAGAGCAGTAGTCTGCACTCGGCTGCTGCCTCAGGTCCTGACCTTCTGATCCTAGACAATTCTCTAGACAGGGCCCCAGCCTACTAGACGCGGCCGCTTCCGCTACGAGGATCTCCGGACTGCCGAGGGCGCCTGGGAAAGTGACGAGGGAGCCCCGCCCCGGCCGCCCCGCCCCTTAAGGAGGACCCTCTAGGGAGGTAGTGGAGTTAATGGAGTGCAGAAAGGGGAATAAGAGTGGGAATGCGTTTGCATGGTTAATATTCCATCTCCAACCTGTCTACCCACCCCCTAAGGCAACTCGGAGCGCGACATGCTGCGCCGCCGGGCTCAGCGCAGGCAGCCACCTTTAAGTGGACGGAGTCTGTGATTACCCGCCCGCCCGTTCGGGGAACCCCGACGCCAGAAAGTCAGGGTGAGAATGGGGAAATCCAGCAGCGTCCCTGCCCTCTCTGCAAGGGTGACTTCCCCGACTCCGGACACTTTCCACCTTGTCAGATGCATTCTCTGAGCCAGCCAAAGCCTACATCTTTCCTTTCGCAACCAGGGATTTGGCATTGGGTCTGCGCTTCCCCTTAGGGCTTACTCCCACTCAATTTTTACTTCAACTAATTCATCACGCAACAAGTATTTATTGTTCGCCCACTACAGGACTCTCTGCTCATTGATTCTATTGAATTCTCTAATCCAGTCTTCCCCATGCTGTTTTAAAATTAATCTGTCTGGACAGGAGGGAGGGTTGAGGCTGACACCCCCCACTTACCCTACCCCACGCACAGTTTCTGGCACCAGGATGTCGAGCTACAGGGAATCAGCCATCCAAAAGAGCCAGAAGAGACTGATGGACAACCTCCAGAAGACGGAGCTGGAGCAAACGTTCCAGAGCTGGGCTTCAGCTAAATGCACTCTATTTTCCTAGGATGGACACCCCCACACCCACCCTGAAGAGCCTCTCACAAGTAACCCACTGTGGTGGCTTGAGTTTTGTAATGTTGGAAGCTTTGCCACAAGTATTTCAAACATCAGCAGGGTCATCCAAGTGGACAGATTACAGTGGAGTGGAGCTACCAGACTAGGAATCCTTTATGAAATGAAGACCCCATGGAGCATAACAGTACTGTCCAATATGGTGTTGGAAGAGGCCCCTAGGTTGTAAAACTCCTAACAAGGGACTCAAACATACCAACTGTCTGGAGCGGTGCCGGCCCAGGGTTCATTCTGTTCTGTTAGACTGCCAGGAGTGGGAACCCACTCCACGGTAGAACCAACCTCCCAATCACTGACTAGGCCAGGCTTTGAGGAGCTCTGGTAGCGTAGTGGCTGCTGCCAGCTGTTCCCTGGGGAAAAGATGAGGCTTTCTTGCTCCCATAAAGATTTACAGCCTCGGAAACTCTGCACAAAGTCACTATGAGTCGGAACCGACTCCATGGCACATAACAACATGCACTTCGCAAAGGTCCTCGGATAGATGGTAAATGGGACAAAGTTCATGGTGGGTGCTCACCAGACATGAGCACTGTGATTGATGTGCCAACACTCTGAGGAACTTCTTGTCCCTGAGCTGAGCCAGCTGGGTAACCTTCAGAGAAGAGCTGAGGATATAAGCTCCACCTCCCTCGACCTGGGCTGGAAGCCAGGATGGCTGTATACTCCCCAGGAAGAAGAAGCCAAGATCTGCAGTCATGGCAGAGAGACAGGGGTGCCACAGGAGGGCCAACGGGGTGAAAAGGTTCATCCTCTGCCATTCTCCTCCAGCCTCCAAGGCCAGTACTCCCCCCATCACCAAAGTTGGAACCAACTCCTCAGAGACAGGAGGCCAATGGCAGAAATTAGGGTTCAGATCAGTACTCAAAGATGATAAGCGGTCCAAGGTGCCTGCCTGGGCATGTCAGATAAGAAGTGCCAACCAAGGTCTCTGAACAGACTTTATCCCCAGCAAGTCCGTCCAGGTTGAAACTGTGGCCTCAGCAGCTCTCTGGAGAGACCCACATTACATACAGCCCCTAGGAGCAGGACTTGGCACTCACATTCAGATGGATGACACCAATTCCTGCAGAAAGAAGCAGACAGCTTACCTCCCCCACCATCTCCTACCAGTCTCACACACACCAGGCTGGCTCACCTCTTCCCCTTCTTCCTCTTCTACCACTCTCCAGCGCAAATCCCTCCTCATTCCAGAGAGGCTGAAATGACACTCTTTCCCAACTTCCCTGATAGAATGACTTTTCCTCTGCTGTGTAGCCATCTCTGCTAAAATTCCTGTCCCATTCGGTTATTACACTTCCTTCTGGGTATCTGTTAACATCCCAAGACAGGGGGCAGAGGCCACGTGCAAGCTGTCAATAGACCTGCCTGCTCAGAGGGAGCATACAGTAGGCACTTATCCATGATTACCAATTAAACCCGAGTAGTTAGTGGTGCAAGCTCACCAGCTGCTCCTCGGAAACCCTCCCTATACAGGGTCGCTATGGGTCGGAATTGACTCGACGGCACTTAACAACAACACCTCCCTTCTGGTAGTGTAGTGGTTATGAATCGGGCTGTGAACCGCAAGGTCAGCAGTTCGAAACTACCAGCTGCTCCGCGGGACAAAGATGAGGCTTTCTGCTCCCATAAAGATTTACAGCCTCGGAAACCCTGTACAGGGTTGCTGTGAGTCAGAACGGACTCCATTCCTTGACAGATAACAACCTCCCTTCCTAGAAACAGCTACAGAAGCATGTGAAGATGAAAGGGTTTAATCAACACTGTATCAAGCTGAAGATATTTACACACAAGGCTTGTAACTGTTCAACTGAAATAAGCACAATGATAAATCCAGGCGGAAGGGAAAACACTGAGTTTCAACTGCCAACCTTATGGTTAGAAATTCAGTAGTTATCCTACAATGCCAAACCAGTCCTCAGAAACCCTGTACACGGTCGCTGTGAATCCAAACCCACTTGATGGCACATAACAACAACTATTGTAAAAAGCCAAGAAATGGTTTTCACACTAAAAGAAACATTCTTTGATAGTTACTAGGGCTGGGAAGGCTAGTGTGGCTCTGTGGGATAAGCACTGGACCCCATGTTGGTTTGAACTGCAAATTCAGCAGTTCATACTCACCAGCCACTCCTAGGAAACCCTATACAGGGTCACTATGAGTCAGAAGCAACCCTAGGACACTTACCAAGGCTGGGAGAGAAAGGAAGGTGAATTACTAACTAGAGGGTAAACCCTAAACTCAGTGCCATCAAATCAATTCTGATTTATAGCGACCCTGCAAAATTCAGTACAAATGCTCCTTAGGGTTTCCGAGACTATAAATCTCATGTTTTTCCCAAGGAGCAGCTGATGGACTTGAAGTCCCAACCTTCCAGTTAGCAGCACAATATTTAACCGGATGCCCCTCCAGAGCACCGTAATTAGGTTGAAGGGGACAGCAACCCACAATTAAGAGAGAGGTCAGCACAACATGATGGAAGCCCACTGGAAAGCCTGCAAGAGTTACAGGGCAACAGAACACCGTTACAGACACAACCCTACCACACCAGTGATCTATACAAGTGGCTGCACGCGTGGACACACAAGCTGAAGCGGTGGGACAGTACCTATGACTAGACAAGGAGGTTTCAAAAGTTTGTGGAAAGATTCCATCTTTTTTTTTTCCTTCCATAATTGAACTTTGTATTTTATGTACAAGTATTGGCATTGTTTCTTTTTGGAGTAGATGTCTTGGATAATTCCAAAGAGGATCACTTAGTTGCAACTTGATGAAGCCTGTGGATTTCCGGATCAGACCACACTCATCTGGAGTGTAGCTCCCTTAATACTGCTGGTGACCCAGCTGCTTTGAGGGACACATTAACTTTTCATTCCACCTCTATTTTTCCATGAACTTTTTGAAGCCTCCTTGTACATGGTTTGAACAGAGATATTGCTACATATTTATCTATGCTGCAAATATATCCATGAACATGGCAGAGCACACAGGGGGAAAAGCTAAGACCGTTTCTTAGTTATAACCAAACACCAGAGGGGCTTAGTCATTGGGCCTGGGGCTCAGGACTACTGAATCAGAAGACACCATGGTCAATTGGCGTTAACACAGACCCCAAGACAATGTTCTGCATCCCACTTTGGTAAGTAGTAACTGGGGTCTGAAAACCCTGTAAGTAGCCATCTTAGGTACAACTATGCTTAGTAAAGTGGAGGGTCAGAGAAAAAGAGGAAGACGCCCCCAAGGAGATGGATTGGCACACTGGCAGCAGCTATATAGATTGAAGCATAGCAACAATTTTGAGGTTGGCAAAGGACCAGACAGTGTTTCACTCTGTTGTGCATCGGGTCGCCGTGAGTCGGTACCAACTCAATGGGCCCTAACAATAAGAAGTTACAATTATTGGTCTCTCCCAGTCCGGAGCAAAGAAGGGTGAAAAAAACCAAACATGTATGGAAATAATCAGTGCAATGGACCATGCAGCCCTCAGTCCTTATAACACTGAGCCACAAAATACTCGATGGTACCCGGTTATCTCTACCAACTACTCTGAAAGGAAATCACATTAGAAGGTACGGAGTGGGCTGGGAGAAAACTGTGGAACAAAACCCAAAACCATAAAAAAATTAAAATACAAGGCTTAGTGTTCAGGTAGAGGCTGCTGAAACCCCTGAGACTATGGCCCTCAGTCCCCCCTTCAGGACTGGAAACAAACTCACTCTTCAGCCAAACAACAGAAAGGTCTATAAGAGTAACAATAAAAACACTAGTGAGGTACACATACCTAAGGGTAACCAACAATTCACCCAAGGACAAAGTTCAGAAGTGTTAAAAAAATTGTTAACTATAAAAATTTAGATATATATATACACACACACACACACACATATACATGTATCATTGTTCTGTGCCTCTGTTGTTGTTGTTGTTACGTGCCGTCGAGTCGGTTCCGACCCATAGCGACCCTGTACAGGGTTTCCAAGGGTGTAAATCCTTACGGGAGTA